GATTTCTTTAGAATGTAGGAGTTATGAGATTGTACATCAATAACAAATTTGACTCGCGCGCTAGATTCGATTGGAATTGCAGTATTAAAAAGCAGTAAGATCATCATCAGGCTTATGTGACAATAGTGAACATTTTCACAGTATACATATGATATTTTTCCCTGGTTTTCTTTTCCATTTTACTTTTTCTCCAATCAGCTAGCTATTTTCACATTAGTACAGAAAGGTTATCGTAACAGCGTGCTCGTCATCACTTATTATATTTATTCAAACACTCGCAAGGCATATTTTGTGTCAATGTATACGTTTCCACAACTTTTCAGTGTATATAAACTTTCTTTTACTATCCGCCTACGCCAATTCCATTCAAAAGCTATAATCTTTTCTGTTTAATCAAGATTAATTGTATGCGATGGTAAGATAGTGTCGAGCTAGGTGAGAATTTGAATTACCTTTTGTATATTTATGTTCTCTCAATCGTATTGTTTTGCCTCCCATCGTTTCATCAAAATAGATCAGTCGTTACACGGTATCTTGCAGACTACTTTCTTGTTCGAACGAGGTGAGTCTAATCGCTTTTGGATCAGCAGAAAAATACTGTTTTAGCGAAGATGGGTTTTTGAGTGCAAAATTGATTTTAACCTTTACTATGAGTGTTTTACAAATTTTAAGACACCGGATGTTTATGGCTATATTCCAGTTTCCGCTAAAAACCACTGGAAAGCTTTCGAAAGTACTCTTATTGTGAAGAGAATAGTTTACACTATCAGACTAGGTATGAGAAAAAAACTTTGAAGGCCTGGAAACAAAACAAATTAATAAAACTATCAAAATCGATGTTCTTCAGGCTTTCGACTAAAAAATTGAAACAAATATATAACTTTCTTCAAAAAGATCATGGAGTGCTAGGAATGTTTTTTTCTATAGCTTCCCCTCTAGAGAGGGATTTTGAGTTTACCATAGCCTGATGTATACAGCAGAGTATAGTCTACTCAAGATAAAATATGTTGCCAATAAAAACGGTAACGTCTTTAAATACCAAGTGTCATCGAAGGCGACTAATTCGTTCCGATAGAGTCCTACGTGATCAGGACCAGGCTTTAAAAATTATTTTTTCTAGGTTTAGATCGTCTATGAACCGCTCAAATCGAAACTGCTGTTTATCCGCTCCTTTGAACTGCTATTTAAGGTAGATTGACTATGCCGAAAACTGCGTACCGAAGATAGTTTTCGCACCGATACTAGAAAATTGTCGACATTTTTTTTCAGCCTCTGTTCTATCGTAATTTCGTGTTTTATCTACAGATGTGACGAAACAAAAATATATACATACAAACAGACGATAAAAGCAGAACCAAAAGCTAATTTCTCTAGCGGTCTCTCTTGCATTGGGTCTCTACATTTTACTTCTTTTCGAATCGTAACCTTCCATCTTGGATTATTTGTTTTCAATAAGAAACGATCGTAGCATAGTAAAATCAACATGTACGTAACTAAATCGAACTTCTGTTTAGTATACACCAACAAGAGCAATAATCACTTAGGCTATGAACATCAACGTTTTTCAATAAGTATAAATTAGCTATAAGTACCTGAGTAAACTATAAGCAGTACCACAACAGTACACAGACGATCTTTTGACTTTTCATGTTATTGTTCCCTACTATTTACTATTCATCTTTCTTTTCTTTGTTTAGAAACCAAACAGAAAGATTTTTTTGGATATATAAACATCAAGGAAATGGTTAACACAATACTTGAACATACTTAATTGTAAGTTAAACGTGTTATCGCTGCACATAGACATTTTGAATGTAATTCTTCTTTCTATACCTTACATGCATTGAGAGCTTGTCTTCTGCAAAAAACGTATTATTATTTCCTTACGACGTGGTTAATAGTCAACATGAGTCAACTACGCTGAGTTGAAGTGAATAAGTATAGACGAGAAAGATATTATACGCTGGAGATAAAGTATAAATACAAGGCGGTGTCAAGTTTCACAATTTGACTCAGCGATGCTTGGCATCCCAGCCGAGATTAAATTCAATTTCAAGAAGTTCAGAATTGATCTTAGTATTTGAATGGAAGCTGAGATTGAATAGTCTACATAAGTCCAATGGTTTTTTTAAGTTCTTTTGTTACAGTTAGGGCTGGACCATTACTTGTTACTCTGGGTTACTGCAACAAGTAAAGTACTAGTAATAAGTAACACAATTATTATAACGGTAATGGTAATGAATCAGCCCTAGTTACAGTTTTTTGTTTAAAAGTTCTACGTTTTATTCATTTTTGAATCGCTGCCTTCGTCGTAATTCAGTTTTCTAACTACTTCGAAACAAGAGACAACTGAAACAATGCATTGGGAGTATGCATCAAAGACGTCTTTTATTTCAACTGCTATTGTTACCCTCGAAAGAAACTTGAGAAATATCTCCCAACGTTTCTTGCCTTTTCACTAATTTTCGAAAGATACGGAAATCGACCAGTTAAGCGGTCACCAATTCAGACTAGGTATGCACCGGTATCGGTATACCAAAAATACCGAACTTCGGTATATACCGATACCGAAAATACCGACTTTTTTTGACTTGGGATTTTTTCATTTGAAATGAGGTATTTAGCATCCTGGACAAGCAGAACGTATAAACAACACTCAGCTGTGTAGTTTGAGCATGTTCAGATAGAAAGAAAAGAAAAACTTTGGCTTTAGAAAGCAAACAAAGCTCTTGTTTTTCGTCCCTGATTCATTCTGGGTGTCCAGGACGCTAAAACATCTCATTTCAAATGAAAAAATTCTAAGTGAAAAAGTCGGTATTTTCGGTAACGGTATATACCGAAGTTCGGTACTGTCGGTATCGGTATTTTCGGTATAAATACCGATACCGGTGCATACCTAATTCAGACGTGATTGGATGCGATTAGAATGATGCAGAAAGAAATAATTAATAAATCGACGTTTGGATGAGCGTGAAACTAGATTTGATCGCATGAACCATCAGAGATGAATTGACTAAATAGTTAAACAAATTACGTATTACCTTATAGTCAATACTATATGCATGTTTAATGCTCAGTTTCATTTATAGCATCAGTCGGTTTTGAAGATGAGATCGTACAGATCTCGACGTTCAGTAAAAGTGAAACTACGAGAAAACGGCATCGAGATTAGATTATAATTATAGAGATCGTTTATATAACTGAAGTTATTGTAAAGAGATTTTATTGATTCCCAGTCAATATATTTTCTTGCTACTCAACCGTTTCTTTTTTAATGGGTTCGCGTCATGTCACAATTGAATATATGCCAAAATAATTAGTATGTAACTGCTTATAGTGCAAAGATCAACAAAGACGTTCAAACAATATTATCTACGAATCTGACGAACATACTGCTTGTACAACAATCAAGCTGAGCTAAAATTTGCTGTAAAAAAGATGAGAATATAGTTGTTCAATAACCAAAACTCTCTTCCTTTGTACATTTGTTGTTTTTCTCCTTTGAAGGCTGACTCACTAAATTCAACAGTACTCCGACCTTCAAAGTTTCTAATGAGTATTTCACTTAGTTATATGTTCTCCGTCGTCTTTACAATATGAATGGTATCTTGTATCAGAAAAAAAAGTCTTCTTAGCATATTATTTGATCCTACCTTATTGTTAATAAAAGATGAATATGTTAGTACACGGCTTGGTCAAGTAACTTTGCTACCAGAGTGTCTTTTCGTAACGGTTTTTCTACATTTTATTTCTTTTATAGTTTTCGAACAAAAGCAGATTTAGAGCTTTGCAACATCTTAAATTGAAGAGAAAAGTATCTTAAACATTTTGAGATGTTTCCACACTCTACATGAACTTTCGTTCAAACACTGTAATACATATACAAAGACCCACTTTTCAAAACGTATCCGAAAAAGTAAGTATTTGTATATTTATTACAGTTTTTGAACGAAAGTTCATATAGAGTGTGGCAACATCTCAAAATGTTTAAGATACTTTTCTCTTCAATTAAGACGTTGCAAAGCTCTAAATCTGCTTTTGTTCGAAACCTATAAAAGAAATAAAATGTAGAAAAACCGTTACGAAAAGACACTCTGGTAGCAAAGTTACTTGGCCAAATCGTATAAGAGCTTAAATGAGTTGCAGATGAAAAGTATTCGTAACAGTGACAGAAGCAACAAACATTTCACAAACGTTTACAAGATATTTTTCGAACAAAAAAATTAACATAGGTCGATCTTCTTTGCACTGTACATCATCACTTTCCACTTATTACATACATATTAAAAATACTTTATTTCAAACTTAGTAAATTTCCTATTATGTTTTTTAACAAAAAAAGTAATATATATTACAACAATTATTTAAAAATATATATATTAAAATATAAAAATTAAATGTCTATTCTATATTTGTTCTTCGTAATAATCTGAAGATGCTGACACAATTGAAGTTTCATAAATGTTGTGCTTGCCGAAAGATACAAATTTGATTAATAGATTGATTTACCATTCGATGTTGTAAAAATCTGCATTATTTCTCTATAGATGTGATTTTACCTTGTGATGGTCATTCAGTTCCACTACTGGAGTCTGTTTCGGAAACTATACAGAAACAAGAGGTAACAGGAATAAATTTCTATGAATTTTTATTACCTAATCGTTTGTTTCCTTTCGTATTTGACGTTTTGGGTACTAAAATAAACAATACATTGTCTTTGTTCAGCTGGAAAGAACGCAACATGAAACATCAGTATATAGATAACCAAATGTTACTGGTAAATTTTTGACTCGAGAAGACTTAGTTTTAAAAATACAAAGATAATGTTTTGCAACCGGTATTATTTTACTCAAGCTTTCCAAACTGGTACTTACTATCAACCATCATTTTCGATATGCCAATAGTACAGACAGTGTCAACGCATTGCAGAGCACATAATAAATGGGCTCGTGTTAGATCAATATTGAGATCATGCGGTAATTGTTGATTTTCATCTGGTAGTTGATGCAATTCTTCTTTAACGCAATCATAAACAATTTTTAGTCGCTGACATTTTCGTTCTGGTTTATGTATTTCGTTGACAAGCTTCAATTTTATTCTAAAGTATAATAAAATAATAATCTTTATAAAATGAGAAAGTGAAATATTTCTTGTTATATGACGACTACATTTTTCAACAATATTGCTTTCTACAGTCAATCAGAAAAGTGTCTAATAACGTGCATCCACCTGGTATAAATCTATGAGTACAACTCTTTCTTACTTTACATCAAGACTCCCTGATAGAAACCTATTTCGTTGACCGTAAGTTGGATCTAGACAATAATTTCAGGAAATAATGAATCGTGTCAAAGTATGGTGAAAAAATAAATTTTTACTTTATCTATTATTCGTCGCGTATGTATTTCGCGAAATATGAAACGTCATTAAACAAAAGAGCAGTTTAGAGAAAAAAGATGGAGACAGAGGATAACAGCATTTTTTAAGTTTCTCAGTAAATCTCTTATAATTTTTCATCAGTATTTCATTCAGACTTACTTAATATCTCATTTTAATAAGAAATGTCTTACTCTACAAACCGGCATCATTGTACGTCAATGATGCCGCACGAATTGTACCAACAGATGGATCTAGGACGAGACGATAAAGGTTAAATGAGGTCACAAAAGTCTGTACGTACTTGTCACGTTTTTAGTTGGAGAAAAATGGCCACGGTCAACATTTTTCATTGATTGTGCCTTTTTAAGTAGTAATTTATTTAGTAACTTATTTTTTCTAGCATCCACACTCGATGAATTAGAAAATGAGGCGTGGAAATTTTCCTTCTTACAATTAACCAACGAGCCTTCATCCAACGTAAGAAATGTATTATGTTTTTCTGAAAACCATTGCAAGAGATAGTTGTCCGACGTAAAATCAACAGGAATCTCATGTGGTAAGTAAAGTTCAATAACTTTCTGTTGAATTGTTAGCAAATCATCGTCGCCACTAATTTCAATATTCAGATTTAAATCAACCCCCCGGTCACGATTCGTGAACAAAATGATGAGTTCTATCTGCATCTATAAAGCAAAACAAAGAAACTTGGTTAACAAAGACTTTTTCGTTGCCGTCACCAACTATGTGACCGCAAGGATCAGAATCAGCGGATAAAATAGAGTCGTTCCTGACATTCGCAAGTAGATTTCGACTGAGTTGTGAATTTTTTAATTTTTGATGAAAATAATCGAAAATGGGGTATTTCACCTAGTATAAGTTTTCACCCGGTTGTTGGATTTTGTTCCGAAAACTAACATTGCCACGAGATTCAGCATAGTCGATAACCTATGTTTTCATTCGTTTCTGACAGTCCCAAACCTAACGACACAGGAATGCTAAGGCTTCAGGAAAAACATCCATAGCTCCCGAACCATGGATTTCTAAGATATCGCTTAGATCTAGTTCTGTAGAGGACACTTCGGACTATATATCCACGTGAAACAA